ATAGAAGGGGGGGAGGGGGGAGCAGATTTCCTGCGGGGAGGCTGAATGCATATGGAGAGTAGATTTCCTGAAGGGAGGGTGGAGGCGTAGACGGACCGAGTAAGTTTCTTGCTAGGGTGGTGGCGGAGGTGGTGGGTTGGTGCTTTGGAAACCCCGAGCTTCCTACCGGGGTTGGGGAGCACACTGTTGGGTGGGGGTGGGGGCGAAGGGCCAGGTTCCCTGCTGGGGAGAGGGGCTTGCATCTGGGGAGTATGTTTCCTGGCGGAGCGATATTTGTTTACAGGCTGAGGGCAGTACTGTAAGTGAGTAGCGCTTCGTGAAGGCGGCTCTGACATAAATTAATATTGAAATTACTCCACCAGCTCTGCTTGCCCCCCATCTCACCCCCCAAGCGGAGACTGGTCTTCTTGTCGGATTGCCCATGCACTTGTTGCAGAAACAGCCAAGGTAGGCAAGAAGCTTATTAAGTTTCATTAAAAAAAATTAGTTGGGGGGGATGCTCCGTGAGAAGATGGGGGGAGGGGAGGGGACAAAGTGGGGGGGGACAGGGAAGGAAAAGTCTCCCCCCACTTCTTTACTTTCACTATGTTAGCTGGGCCTTCTTTCTGCTTCCCTTCTTCCCTCTTCCCTCTCTGTGCTGCACGGCATCCCAGAAAGGGGGAGGGGTGCGATGGGCGCTAAAATTGGCAGACCCGGCTCACAGGGTGGTGGTGGAGCTTGCACTTGAATGTTGTGATGTTATAAAGCCTTCATTCTTCCTGCCAAGAAACCGCAGGACCCTAGGGATGTGCCTTTTAGGGGTTTTGACATGATGCATATATGTATGTATACACGCCTGTGGGCTCTTTGGGGGCTGGGTACACCCCAGAAGTTGAAGTGGCCACCCAAATGGGAGAAATGTGTAAGGGGGTAAACCTGCCCCTCCAGTCCGAACTTCAGTTTGGAAGACTGGGAAGTTGTTGCTGGTGATCTAAAGAAATACATAATAGAAAACACAAAACCACCCATTCGCTGGCGGAGGCCGAGAGCACCTGGCCGGCAGCCTCTGGTCAGCACTGGGCTGGGGCATGTGCGCCTGCCATCCTTCGGCTAAAAGAAAATGACTTCTGGTTCCTCCGTGTGCCTTGGACTGGCCCCTTAGAGCCAGCTTTGTGGAAACTCTTCCAGACCAGACGCGGCTTTGGCAAGCGAGCGTCCGTGTTGAAGCCGGTTGCTAACAGCGTGGCCTGGGCTGTCTTGTGGAGTGCATGGAAGTGATGCTTAGGAATGACGGAGCCAGGGATGGCTGAAGAGCTCTTTAAAAAAATGCCTACCTACCGAAAGCCGGCCCGGTGCACTTTTTAGCAGGCCTTGGAGCAGAGCTTTAAGAAAGGAGTTTCCAGTTGTCCCAGTTGGTACCAACCTTCTGCATCATTAACGGTTTCAAGAAAGAGGTCTGGTCAGGATGATCTGGTTTTGTGCCCACTGGAAGGATAACAAGCGAAGTACTCAGCAGTTAACTAGTTAATCAGCAGTCTTTGCGTCTCCCTGCCTCGATTTTCCTGGTACTCAGCCTGCTGGTTTCTGCAGATGGGTTGTAGGTCTTGGCTGTCAGGTACCCGGATTATGCTGGGAGTTTTAACTTTGCCAGGATAATTTTAGCACCGAAGGTTCAAACCCAGACATAGGGTCAGGGAGTAAACGCTAGGCAGTGTGGTTAACTGAAGTTGGTTATGCTTTCTGCAGTTCTATAGCCAGGCTCAATTCTAGTAGGGAAAAAATGGGTTTAAAAATATTTCTCTGCATGTTACTGATGGACAGTGCTTTCTTTCTTTCCTTCCTGTTATCAGATTTCCAGATTGAGAATTTGTTATTTGGCAGCATGAGAGTTGAGTTAGTTGGGAATTAAGTATTATTGCCACTTATCGAATGCTCCTAACTAGGCATTAGTTAAAACAAATTAACTATTATTTTTTCCCCTGCTCAAAACCTGTGTCTGGTTGGTGTATATGCTGGGACGATAAACAAAATCTTTATGTGTGTTTACCCCAGGATAGTGGAATTGACATGCCTACTCTCGAAGCCAAGAGCAGTCATTCATGTCTTTTTCCCCCCTTATATTTATGAGATTTATTTTATTGTCTTGCTTTGGCCATTAATCAAGTCACGGTAGCTTCCCCCCCCTCCTCGCTTCTGCTGGGAATGTTCCTGTGGTAATAAAGGTTTGAAGGCCCATGAATCATAATTCATTCTTTTAAAAATATTGTGGTGATTGTCAGGATTTGATTTATAGGAATTGATACAGGGAGTGACACAGCTCTTTGGGCCCCACCCTTTTAGGCATGTCCATTTTTGCCAAAGATTTGTTGAGAAGCCAGCTTGACATCTCAAAAAAGAGCATTTCCTGTCTGCTTTATGGGCATTGAGGAGATTAATTTTACAGGTTCCATAGTAAACACGAGTCTTTTCACAGCTTGGTAAGCAGGCTTCCACAGAGCAGGCATGTGTTAATATCACATAGCATTTATGTGAGCTTGCTGTGAAAACAGTTCTATGAACTGTGTGGAAAGTACTCAGTTTTGCTTCCTTTAACCCGCTTGGGCCTGTGGTTTTTGTTGAGGTAGGAGCATTAATTATAAAAGAGGGGGCTGCTGCTTATATAATAAAGTGTGTGGTCACAAAAACAAAGCTTATTTATAATATTATTTTTCTCATCCTTTGATGGTTGGGTTGGTCGTAATAATCAAAAGCATTGTTTTGGGGGGAAAGTATAAGGATTCACCATAAAGTTGATTAATCAGAAAGTGTTAACATTGTCTTGCATTCAGTGGTTGGCTCAAGTTTACAGTATTTGTAAAGTGACAAAAAACTTTTAAGGTTGTTTGATGCTCAAAGCAGGGGGGAAATGTCACAAAAGTGGGGAGGCTACCAGTTTCTAGCATTTCTTGGTTTCAGATTTTTTTAATTAAAAATGCACAGTTTGATCCATGAGTTCCATCCGCATCTGAAATTCTATCACTCGGTCTTGTGGAGAGGTCTCCAGAGGTCTCGACAGTGTCTTCCTGGGCCAACGGCCAAATTGCTTCATGAACTTGTGCGAGTTGATTAACTTCTGTTTTTGTCTTCTCGTGGAGAGGGTGGATATGTACCTTGGCATTCCAAAAAAGACTCTTGAGTGGCCTGGTAATCTTGACAGTCAACGCAAGGAAATACTTATGAAAGCCTGCCACTGCCTTGGGAAAAAAAAGTGCATGGTTGATACCCAATTATAGGTGCTAATAGAGAGTGGCACATAATCCCAGGCACCAAAAATAATTTCAGTTCATCTTGGAAGTTTCCCCTGCAGCCAGCTGGTTCACCTGTCTAATTATGCTTGGTCAAGTCTAAGGTTAATTGAGCAGACCAGAAAGCCTAGTGTGGTTTTACCCACTTTCTGTGGAAAATTCACATGTGGGTAATTGGTTGTATATTTGCTATAGGGTTCATGGTAATGATATTGTATTACTGTCACTTCTGGGATATCTCATATTTCACTGTGGGCATTTTTGGGGGAAAGGCTCTTGATGTTTTTATTGACTTTGAACATTGACATGTAAAGTAAGAATCCAGACCAGTGGTTCGGACCCCAGGCAGTAGAAATTTGTGCTGGTTGTCCTGCTGTAAAAGCAGTTGAATTCAGCTCATTTTATTTCTGACTTCATAAAACTGTGATTTAGGGAGGAGAGAGGATTAGATTCAGCTGGGATCTTGTGGATTAGTAATATTTCTGAATGTGCATGTTGAAGGGGAACCAATAAAATAAAGGGGAAATTAAACAGTTGCTTTCTTTTGTGGGGAGAGGGAGACAAGAGCAGCTGGATCTGTTCTTGGCACGCTTTTCAACAAGGCTACTGTGGTATTTTAAGGAATAAATAAGCTTGATAACATGAGTTTGATTCGTGGTTCTCTTAAACCCCCCCCCCCAAGTTAAATAAAATACACAACAAAAAGCCCCTGTGATATTTTATAAGAATTTTCGAGTTTTCTGGGCAGCTGCTTGTAGGGCCTACTGGTTAATTTGGGTTTACTGAGGAAATGGATGCTTTTTGCTTTTTCCTCCTGGGAGACAAGCTGAGAATGGGTGGGACACGCTGAGCTATTGGGCTGTTTTTTATAGAGGAAGGGGTAAAAAGAACTCATGTGCTTAAATGACAGCGATGAGTCTGGGCTCATAGACGGCAACAGTTATTTTCATGCCATCACTGACTGGCTTGTTCATTCATAACATTCGGCAGTTACTTATTGAGCACCCATTGTTTGCTAGGCACTAAGTTTAGGCTCCGGGTATATGTTGATAATTCAAACAGATAAAATCATCTCCCTCTACCCATCCCCCACCCCTCCTTCTAGTTTACAGTCAGAGGGGAGGTTGACATGTAAAGAAATATATATTGCAAAACGTGATAAATGCTCTGATGAAACCCCAGGGAGCAGTGGCCAGGACTTTCTTAGCTAAGGCAGCCTAGAAAAGCCTGTCTGGGGGTTGGGGTGGGGGGAAACCGAGGGCACCAGGCAGAGGAGAGCCTTGGTGGAAGGACTTTGGATTTGGGGGCAACTGAAAAGAGGCACAGGCGGACTACGGGGAGGGGAGAGGGCACCCAAGGTGATTGATCATGCAGGGCTCTGGGGGCCTTGAAAGGTTTGGGTTTCATTCGAAGAGTAGTGGGAAGCCATTGAAACTGCAGTGAGAGCTCTGGCGGTTTGGCTCAGTGGTTAGAGCTTGGCCCCGGGACTGAAGAGTCTCGGGTTGGATTCCCATCAAGGGCAAGTACCTGGGTTGCAGGCTAGATCCCTGGCCCTGGTCGGGGGCATGTGCGGCAGGCAACCAATCGATGTGTCTCTCTGACATCGATATTTCTCTCTCTCTCCCCCTTCCACTCTCTGAAAAGCAATGGAAAAAATATCCTTGGGTGAGGGTTAAAAAAGAAAGAAAGAAACTTTGCAGTGAGAAGTGATACTCCCTAACCAATACATTGGTAGAGAGGGGTCAGGTGTGGAATTGGGGAGCACAGTAATGTGGCAGTTGGAGCAGGTCAAGTGAGGAGGTGACAGAAGGTGAATGGAGGGGAGCAGGCGGGTGTGAGACACACATTGAAGGTACAGTGGGCTGGGGCTTGCTGATGGTTTTGGTGGGGGTGGGGAGGAGGAATCTAGGATAACAGGTTTCTGACTAGCAGTTGGGTGGATGGGTGGTGCTATTTGCTGAGATGGGGGAGAGAGAGGGAGGGGAGCAGAGCCACGCTGTCGCAGTTTGGGCTCCTTTGAATTTGAGATGCCTGTTCAAGTCAATGTGGCGATGTTAAGCAAGCAGTCTGATACAGCATCCAGTGCCAGAGGACTGGCCGGGCAAGAGATGAAAATGTGGGAATCAGGGGGTGGTGTTTTAATCCAGGAGACTGGCGGACATGTCCTAAGGAGCCTGGAGGGAG